CAAACCGCCATGCGACTGGTCGGTTCAGGGGTAGGTATCGACGGATTAGGTTTCAGGTGCTCTTTTTATCAATAATGGACCCACCTGTTTTTAAAGTGTTATTACTGATGAAGCTACCCTGTTTAACCTTTCAACTCCCAAAAAGCATACAATCGCGCGCTGCATGCTCAGCCGATACCGGTTTGTCAAGCTTTCTACCAGATTCTCCACAGATGATAATTTATTGTTGACACACAATGTCATTTAAATTTATTGTTCAAAGCCTTCTACCATTCTAGTCTTCATTTCCTGAAACAGGAAGGTACAGACTTGTTAGTACCAACTACTAAGTAAACAAATTTGTCACTTTTAACGTGTTATTAGTATTTTGCTTGTTTAGGAGGGAAGTATCTTAAAATTAATAATGGGAACACAAAAAGAGTGAACAAAAACAAATAAATGTCGATCCTGATGAATTGCCTGTCTATACGGGTATAAGTGAATGATTATGCGTTTGTGGTACATCTCGAAAGGTGTAAATTTAGGTGAAACTTCACAAATTGACTTGATGCATCTAAACTATTAGATAGCATTGATATAGAAGCTAATAATTCCGACACTGAGACTGAAAAAGACAATTAATTGGCAATTAATGGTCGTGTCTCTTTTGTAGATGTTCATAAAATATGCAAAACTTCCGGTCGTTTATTTCATTTCTACACGCAGCGGCACAAAGGCGGATGAATAATGATATCATTAGAGTGGTTTTCAATGAAAAGGTATTGTTGTGATGCAAAGCGTACGGTAATTATATTGAGAAGCTGGTAGAAAGCTTGACAAATCGGTATCGGCTGCATGAACAGCGCATAGCTTCATTATTATAATCAGTAGTAATCATTATAAACCCATTTTTGACAGAAATTGTAACCAACTAACTTAACTTATTTGATTTTTTAAAATAATGTACGTGGTGAAAAAAACTTTAACAAAATCGCAAGAAGAGTGTTATTATGCTAATTTGTATGCAAGTCACCAAAATCACTGTTGTCCACGTGTAAGTCTAGTGTAGTGGGTTTTTTTGGCCTACAAATCAAGCACCGGAGCTCATAGCTCAGTCAAGCGGATGGAAAAAAGCCGTCCGTGGACAAACAGGTTTTGCACATGACATTTTTATACTATACCATATCATGGGCGTAGCCAGTGGGGGATGGAGGGGGTGGGGTGGGGGTGGGGGTTAAGGGGGTATTTCCCCCCCCCCCCCAAAAAAAAATAGATAGATATATATATATATATATATATTTTGTCACCAGCGCTTACCGCCCCCCCCCCTAAAAAAATATATATTTTTGTTACCTACCTGCCGTCAGCGGCGCCCTTCCCCTGAGTAATCAGAATCTTTGGGATGCAAGCCTGCAAATAAATTCCCAAAGACACCAGTGCTAAATGCCCATACTTCAAAATTCTTTTAAAAATACTCATAACTCTCACAGGTAGTCAAGCTGAACAGAAAAATGATGATCAACATGTCATCTTTCCTTTTCTTTTCAATTTTTGGTGGGTTGACCATTGACTTTTCGAGATATTCTCACCCAAAGAAGACGACCCTATTTTCCCCATAGCGAAAAAGTAGCCATCTTGAAAAACGATTCCCCACAACATGGCCAAATAGCGCCACTTTCGAGCCCAACAGCATCCAAAATGCTCAGAATTGGAAGCCCCAAGTCCGGGAAAGAGGTTCTTTTCCATATCTCTTCAATTTCCCAATTTTATCAGAACTCTCTAATATAGAATATTTTGAGGGTATAACTTTTATTAATGAGCTCGGCGGACGGATTTAGGCCTATTTACCGGTGTGCACCCTAAAGATTCATCAGGAATAGTCAGAATCTTTTGGTCTGGGAACCAGAATACTCAGGGGAAGGGCGCCGCTGACGGCAGGTAGGTAAAAAAAAATTCCAAAAAAAAAAAAACAACATTCCAAAAGTTACTAAAAATAGACTGCGCGGCCTTTATGAAACCATGGACCAAGAAACGGCACTTCGGCTATGGCCTGAAATCGTTCTTGTACATTATGGACATGAAGTACGGCAATGCCCGCGTACCAAACCTTCGTTTCGTAAAGTTTCCAAAAGAGAAAAAAAAAATCAAAAAAAAACCCAAAACTTTCCAGAAAAAAACAAAACTTTTTCGAAAAAAAAAATGTTGGCACTAACGGGCTTTCGTAGGATGTTCATTGTGAAGTTATTGAACGTATGAACATTTGGAAAATATAAGTGTATGTATTCCTAACACCAAACTTCCAGTTTGATAAACGTCACAGTATTTGGAAGCAAAAGGTGAACATTGTAGGCTAATGGTATCGTTATTTGGGCTAAGATATACGACATGGATCAAATGATAAAATTAAATGTTTACTATATGATCGTTGGCAAATTCTCATAGAAGTAACTTCCGGTCTGATGACGTTATGAATTTGAAACCTTGCCAGGTTATCTGTGGTTAATCAAAGAATATCAAGGGGCGATTTGGTAAAGTTTGAATGTATGGTTTTAAAATTATAGAAAAAAAACACTATTTTAAGTGCCGCTAGGGGGCGCCCTTTCGGATGATGACGTCATCACACTGTTTTTTGTGTCTGGCATTCCGCACTTAACACTTTCATAGAATATATGTTTGTAGTAAAATGCTTCCTTTTTAAGTTATATTCAGTTTTATTGCACTTCCGGTAACACCGGAAGTAAAGGTCAAGCGGCTTTGTATCCGGGAACACGAAATGTTTCTCACGGCATAGTCTACAACCTCACGAAAAAAAGCACACGATACTCTATTTAGTTCAAAAGATATAACGCAAACTATTTTGTCAAAATTTGCCCTGAAACCGCTTGTAATTTGATACCTGATGACTTCAAGAAGCCTTAAAATTAATGTGGCCTGACGTTGCGAACTTAGCAAGTTCTTCTTCAGAGGCTAAAACAGAAATGACAGAGATACATACATTAACATGGGGGTGCACACAAACATGCAGGGCTGAAAGAAGAAACACAAAAGGAGGATTAGGAGGGAAAGGTGTGGAAAGATGCAGGGGAGGGTGGATGAGAGAACAAAGAAACAAAGGGAGATGGCAAACCACAAGGGGTCTGGTGTAAACAGGGGAGGGACCAGAAAGGGGAAGGATCAAAGGTCACAGGGAGTGGGAACGGACAAAAGAGTGTGAGAGTGAAGGGATGATGCGGGGGGGGGGAACAGTATTGAGGTGGAAAGGGATGAAAGATGGCGGGAGATGTGTAAACACAAACAAGGAAGACCAGATGGATTATCTGTAACAGAGGACAATGGAGGAAGAAAAGGATTAATCATTTCCAAGTTGGATGTTGAGACCATGTGGTTGAATAGTTCGAAGACGATTCATCCACACCTTCTCTCTGCTGAGGCGAACTGACTCTTTGCATATTAGTTCCTTTATCTAGCTATCCACCAAGTTTTATGACGATCGGACATTCCCTTATATGTGTTTTCAAAAAATGCATTTTTGATGACGTCACCATGACGTCACTCTTCGGGACACAACTTTGCTATAGGGACTATGCCTGTGGTAACTTTGAATGATGTATGACAAAAATAAATGCTAAAAGCGGTGGGCAAAAAATCGTGTACAAAGTCTATGGGGTTGAGGCGAGAAAAGAAGAAAGAAAACACTATGCGGAAAAGCCAAAAAGAGACGTAGACAGAATGTAGCGCATAGCCCAAAAAACCCCGAAAGATTAGGAACTATTTCTTGGAAAGTTTGCCTACATTATTTGCATCATTGTACCTCCACAGAGAAGTAACTAAGCAATGAATCAAAGAAAAAAATCTATCTCATGTAGTTATTATCAAAAAAGCAGGAATAATTCATTTTGTTGGACTTGCAACAAAAGCCTGCCGACTCAGTGTTGTAGTAGAGTGCTTTTCCACGAGTACGAGTACAAAAACGAGTACGAATACATTTCCATCAGCAAAGATATTTCCTTTAAAGGTGAACCCTTTATTAAACCCAAACAACTTTACACAGTTGGACAACTTAATTAAACCTCCATGATTACCCTTAAGTGTAGCCACGTGCAGAGTAAAACTGGAAAAAGTGGAAGCCGTAGAACAGTTTGTTATTTTTTACTTTACGACAAGTACGACCCGAGTCACGCATAGATAAGATTCAAATCGGCGGCGAAGCCGTCTCCCCCTGCGTAACAGGCGAGTCTTATAAAGACAAGATAAGTTTGCGGTAGCACCATGTGAATAAATCTCTTTTGTGAGTATGTGTGGTTCTGAAAAGAACCGGAGGGACTCAACGTTTTGAACAGTATACTCTGCCCGTCGTCAGGAGAATGAGAGATTCCAACGATGATGCGATGTTATAAGGATGGGTGCGGTGAGGCGTGAGTCTTATAAAGCCTGGTTGTTTGTAACTAAAAAAAATGCAGTGATGTTTGCTGCATTCAGCATGTCGCCGTGAACTTGCTCGGTGACTGCAGCTCTATGTTCCCCACCCCTATGTTCCGACAACTCAACCTATGTTCCGACACCCCTATGTTCCGACACCCCTATGTTCCGACACCTCAACCTATGTTCCGACACCCCTATGTTCCGACACCCCTGTATTCTGACTACTCAACCTATGCTCCGACACCGACATGTTCCAACTACTCAACCTATGTTCCGACACCCCTATGTTCCGACAACCTGCACATAAGATTGTGTTACTCCCGGTGAGGTTTAGGGATAGGGATAGGGATAGGGGTAGGGATAGGGATAGGAATATGTGCAGTCGGAACATAAGGGTGTCGGAACATACGGATCCAGCTTTTGCTGAAGGGGCGGGTGCCTAGCTGTCGAGGGGAGGGGGTAGCAGGCATGAGCTTTGTTTTTCTTCATGACTTAACCTTTTATGGATTATGGTATCTTTGCATTTCGCCGTTGCTGAAGAAATTCAAATTATAGTTGTCAAGTATGTTAGTTGTTATCACAATCCGGATTCATTTCAGCCCTCTCTGTTCGCGGGAAAAGAACATCGCAGAGCTCGACAATAAACTGGGGATTTCACTCTTCTGATAAAGCCATCGATGGAACGACAGATACCTACTCGCACACTGGTATGAACAATGAGAAATACTCTTGCCTTGGCTATAAAGCCATATCATCGTCAAATCATCTCCCTCGTCACCATCGCCATTCTCGAAATCAATGTCGCCGTACCAACACTCTCCTCCTTCTACGTTTTCCCTCCTCACACTCTGAGATGTTCATTCCCACCTGACGCAAACCTTCGGCACCAAATCCCCCTCTCGACCCCATCCCTATCCCTATCAACATCCCCACCCCCATCCCCTCCCCCATCCCCATCCCCATCCAAACCCCATCCCCATCCCCAACCCATCCCCATCGCCATCTCATCCCCATCCCATCCCCGTTCCCATCCCATTCCGATCCTGTCCTCATCCCCACACTGATCACCGTCCCCATTCACATGCTGATCGCAGTCCATATCCAGATACTGATCCCCGTCCCCATCCCCATACTGATCCCCGTCCATTTTTGGATCCCCGTCTCCAGCACCATACTTAAGTTACCACCGTGCCCATCCCGATACTGATCCCCATCCCGATCCCCATACTGATTACCGTCTCCATCCCCATGCTGATCCCCGTTTTTATCCCCATTCTGATCCACGTCCCTATTCCTATACTGATCCCCGGCCACATTCTGACCCCTTTTCCAACCCCCATACTAAACCCCATCCCCTCCCCGATCACTCTCTCCTCCATGGCCCATCCCCTCCCCATCCGAACGTCCATCCTCACGTCCATCACCCTTTCCCGATCCCTTCCCGTCGCTTTTCCGACCCTTCCCTTCCCAATCACCATGCTATTAAATCAGCATCACCCTTATAGCATCACTATCGCAATGTACCATTTCATTCCCAGTCCTTGCCATACCACTCTCACCAAATGCGGACAAAGGCACCAACTGCATAATTTTGAATAAAACTAGATTGATTTTGATTAAAAATAATATTTTTCGTTTCCCGTATTCAAGATGATTATGATTCGCATCCTTGGTGGCTGCTGGACCTAGGAAGCGAGCACCGTTTGGATAAAATCAACGTCACTCTCCGACAGGATAATTGGGGTAATGTTCTTATTACTCTCTACCCCAGAAATTTGTATTCGTTTAGTTTCTTTCTTGTCTTCAAAGAGAATTTGCGAAACTGTATTATACGAAAGAGAACTGTCTTTTCTTCTCTAGGTTTTCGTTTCATCGGGGCAATAGTGCGAGCTGGACTGAGCCCCAACTTCGCCGAGAACCCGCCGTGCGGCTCACCGGCTACCAGCGAACAGTCTCAGGATGGAGCTGAGATCCCGTTCCTGTGCGAGCCACAGCGGACGGCTAGGTATATCAGCTTGGACATCGATACTTCCATGCCCGGTGTAGATGCGGAACAGGCATATCTGCAACTTGCCGAGGTGGCGGTGGAAAACTCCACTTCTGGAGAGGGTTCTGGTAGGTGACAACAGTCGGTTGATATTACCCAGGCCATGCTTCAATAAAAGCAGGAGTTTACAACCTGCCTGCAGAATTTGGCAGGTTACTAAGAACCAGTCGGTGTGTATAATATTTAACACATGTTCAGTTGAAACCTGGGCCAGTGTGGCAGGGAATTCCGTCCCGCCACATAACGATCCGGGGACGGAGTTCCCCAGGGATACGTGTAGTACGGGTCTCCTAAGCTAAGGGATTATGTTCCCCCAGGTGAGTTCAACCCCCTCCCACGTCTAACGTCATTGATATACTGAAGTAATCTTCATCAGTGGTTCTTATTTTTACTGTATGACACTACTAATGTTTCTTGACCAACAGGATGTGATTTAAATCTTTTTTCTTACATTGTGGCTCAAGTTCGGAGTCAGCATGCGTGGGAGCTATAAAGTAAAATGCGAGGGACTGCGAAATTAGTTTAGTAAGGCAGATCCAACAAGTCGGGTGGAGACCTCATCAGGGGTAGAGGGGGGGGGTAATATTCTATGTTGTGCAAGGCGGACGGAACAACTTAGAGTAAAGTTGTCTGAATGACAGAATTTCCAGGGGACAGAATCTCCGTCCACACTGGCATTGACACGATGTATAGCGAAGGCCTTACACATGTGGTTTACACTGCACAGTGTCAATTTTTAGAAGCCACTTGAAGAATATCAGACCGACTTTCGTTATTCTCTGCTCCTATTTTTATATTTCGTATCAAAGCGGCGGATACAGCTTTGGCTGAAGGGGACGGGGTGTTATGCGGGGGGGGGGGGAGCCAGCAAGTGCTTTGTTTGTCTGCATGACTTTTCTCTCTTTAAGTGTTTTTAACTTTTTAACTCTGCATTTCGCCGTTGGTGGAGAAGTTCATATTGTAGTTGTCAATTATTTAGTTGTTATCACAATCCGGATTCATTTCAGCTCTCCCTGTTTATGGGAAAAGTACATCACAGAGCACAACATGGGGGTACTATCCTTCTGATAATGCCATCGATGGAATGCCAGATACCTTCACTCACACCAGTAAGAACTAAGAGTAACACTTGCCTTTGTTGTAACCCAATACCATCGTTAAATTCATCTCCCTCGACACCTGTGTCATTCTGGAAACACTGTCATCGTACCCATATCCATTCCCAGACTGATCCCCATCCACATCCTCTTACTCATCCTCGTTTCCATCCCAATAATCCACATCCCCTTTCCAATACTGATCCTCGTTTTCATACCCATACTGATCCCTGTCCCCATCCCAACACTGATCCCCGTGCCAATCCCCACACTGATCCCCTCCCAATCTCCACACTGATCCCCGTCCCAATCCCCACACTGATCCCCGTCCCAATCCCCATAGTGATCCCCATCCCTATACCCATAGTGATTCCTGTCCCATCCCCACATTGATCCCCGTCCCGATCCCCATAGTTATCCACGTCTCTATACCCATACTGATCCCTATCTCATCTTCCCAATCCCTTATTTGTAAACCATATTTGTAAGAAGACACCAAGTAATTTGCATAAAATTAACATTCTTCCTTTCCTTCATTCTAGATGAAAGAGATCCGCATCCCTTGTGGCTGGTGGACCTTGGTAGCAAGCACTGCTTGGGTAGAGTCTATGTCACCACCTGCCCTTCCCAATCCCCATACTGACCTCATCCCTATCTCCATACTGGCCCCCGTTGCCCATCCCCATGTTCCACGTTCCTATTCCCGTACTGGTCCACATCACCCACTGATCGTTATCCCCATACCCTCTTCCCTCCCCTGCTATCCCAGGTCCCATCCCCACGTGCACCCTCGTGTCCACCACCACATCCCCTAGCCAATCCCTTTCCCTTGCATGATATCCATCCCATATGCATCCACTCGCATCCCAATTGACACCATGTTTATCATTTTCACCATCGTTATAGCTTAATGAACACCACCCTCAGCATCAACGTCAGTTTTTACGTCACTACTTTATTCGCAGTTGTTAAACAAAACACCAACTACACTTGAATACAATTAATATTCTTCCTTTCCTTCATTTCAGGTGCGAATGATCCGCATCCTTGGTGGCTGCTTCACCTAGGAAGCAAGCACTGCTTGGGTAGAATCAATGTCACTCTTCGAAAATATTACGGTAGTAAATTTACTTAATAAAGACCAGTAACTTCGATATGGCAAACTTTGAGTATTTTGAAAACGTATATGTATTCAAAATAATCTCTAATATTGTAACGGTTGGTAAAGCACTTTTGTTGTGGCTTTTGTTCCTAGCCGACGGCGCATTGTTAGTGTGTTGATATTGTTAGTGTGTTGTCTATATCTATTCATAGATATAGAATAAAAAGACTAGATCGGCAGCGCGTGCATACGCGCGGCCCTGCATGGAGGGTCACGTGCTGGAGGAAAGATACAAATTGCGCGCTAGACGTGACGAACGCAACGCCGTTGACGCGCACAATGCGAGTTTATTTCTGTTACTGTACTTGAGACCTTCAATGCTAATAAAAAACACAAGATCATAGATAAGATAACACCGTTCCCATAATGTTGAAACACCAGTCTACTCTTGTTGTTTATTTCAATCAGTAACTCTTGAACATGAATGCTTATGATTATGTCTAGGGTCTACTTAGCTATGATTGTCTTAAAACAGGTTTATTTTTCAGAAAATAAACTGATTATCCCATAGCCGAAATGAGAAGCGGCACACCAACGGGTAAGCGTGCGTGTACGCATCGCGTAAATACTCGGTGCGCATTTCTAGCTTCGCGCGCGTTGAGCTAGGTCACGTGCTGGAGGAAAGATACATTTAGCTCCATTACTTTACGTTAATTTGTTGCGCGTCCACGAGAGACAATAAAAATGGCGGAGATTTATCGCACAGTGAATGGGCGCGTGTGGACGCGCTGCCGATCTAGTCTTTTTATTCTATATCTTTGGTTCTATTGTTCACTTACGCGGGTAGGGCTTGGCCAGATTCCATGGTTTGGTAAAGTTGTAACATTGTAATACATTTTGTGAAACTGTGCATGTTTATGCTGTGAATATATCAGTTTAGTTCTGGTGGCGGTGCGGTGAGTTGCCCGCAGAGTCCGCTTGGCAAAATAAATTAGATCTTCCTACAGAGTTGGAAATCCTGTCTGTGTGTCCCCTTTTCTTGCGTTTTGCGCGATTTGGCGGACAAGAGCCCAATAATAGGATTCTGCTACAATATATAAAAACTACATAAGGAGATTTGTATCCGTAAACGTGAAGTTGGAAAACTGCTTCGCTTCAGGCAAAACAAGAACAAAAGCCGTCGGCAGCATCCGCTACAAGTCTATTTTGATGACGTCACTTGATGACGATGACTGTTTCATTATTTTGTGCCATGCAATACGCGTGCGTACAGCGTACACGTACACGCACAGAAAACAGTACAGTTGAGCGCATAATAGCACGCGCACTGTCGCACGCGCACTGTCACTAGTATACATGTACTACGGTCGAACCCGGCGGAGAGCAACACAGAACTGTTGAACGTGATTTTGTTCAAATCTTGTGGTGAAGACATCACCCAGATGACAACCTCAAGTGAAATCGAAGCGAGTGGGACCAGAAACAAATTTGAACCATTTCTTTTTGGGCTTGTCGAGTAATAGGACCCCGTTCAAACAAAAGTAACGTTTGGTAAAAATGGGAATGTTGAACCCTTCTGTAATTTTATCAAAATTTTATCAAAACTGATAACTGTACTATGTGGTATCCATGCTCTTATTGAAACGCTACCAACTCAAATTCTAGAGCAAATGCCTATGTTACATGGCTGTAGAATCATCAAGAACTTTATATACATAATTTTTACAGAGAATTTGATAACCATAATGTCTGTAAATTGCAAAGTTCAACTGCCCTTTCTTTTCTAGGTTTTCGTTTCATCGGGGCGATAGCGCGAGCTGGACTGAGCCCCAACTTCAACGAGAATCTGCCGTGCGGCTCACCGGCTACCTTCCAACAGTCTCAGAGTGGAGCCACGATACCGTTCCTATGCTTGACACCCCGGACGGCCAGGTACGTCAGCTTGGACATCGATGACAGCATGCCCAGTGTTAATCCGACAACGGCATTTCTGCAACTTGCCGTGGTGGCAGTGGAAGAGTACACGTCTGGAGAGTGTGCTGGTAGGTAGACTTGATATCCTGTCAGTCGGTAATGGACCGATTCAGTAAGCCCCGCCCACTGCACACTGGGCAAATTAACACGTGCTCCTCCCCAATGCCACACTGCACTTTCCTGCCGCGCGCATCATACGCGCGTGCACGCATGTCGGACTTTTGTGCACGCACGTCGGACATAAATCACGGCTGTGATTGGTCAGAACACCATGGGGCGGTGCTTAGTCCACCTGTGCAACCGCGTAGCTTACCGCACCGTACCGCCGGCGTCGACTACCGCATATATCGTCCCAGTTTTACGTGAAGCGCGCGATATAATATACATGCGGCATAGATTTCTGCATCCACAGGCCCATATGCGTGTACCTCGATTCCAAATACAGACTTGAACAATCTGCACCCACGTTTGTACAAAAGGCATGGACAATGATGCAAAAAATTGAACGGAGCACTCTGATTGGCTAAGGACCAGGAGGATATGAATATTTATATTACACGTACCTGACATTTACGCGTCTCGATACACATGCGATGGTGTGGTTAATGCCTGACCGGTACCGGTGCCACACACACAGCCGAATGATTAGAACATGCCACCTAGCTAGATACCTTAATTTAGACCCTCATTAACAAAAAAAAACCCTGATGATTGCAAAATATTAAGTTTTGCAAATGGCGGCCATCTTGAATTTTTGAATGGCCGACATTTTTGGATCATAATCGGCTATACGGCTGCATCAGAATCAGCTGTCTAGAGCTAGGTCTGAGAAAAGTACTTCGTCCTTTGGGAACGAGTTCTATCACTGCTTTTTCGATGCAACCCTTTTTTTTAATCACGATGAAATAACATACAATTCTAATTGAATAATATTAAAAATATTATATAAATTTTGTTTGTGTCTATTTCACTGTTTTATTTTAATAAGTCAATTAGCGGTGTTATGATTAGTATTCAAGAACATTCGAGCATTTTTGAGATCTGGGGTGATGTTTATATTAAGTTTCAAGTTCATGCGTTGCACTCCTCGAAAGAAAAACTGCAGAGTAAAAAGAAATCGAATAGAAGCAAAGGACCGTAGATTAGCTCATCATACGATCAGCACCTGACATTGCTGGTGAATGAAGCGATATGTAGTTAGTGTTCAATATTTTAGTACAGCTAGGATTTATTGGTTTGACACTTAAAAGACATTTAATAAATTTTAATAATTAAAATACATTTACCCATCATAATCAGAAAAAAAATGAAACTAGACTACGAACAATTCTGTCTCCAAATTAATAAACACTGACTTCTCCGATTCAAACCTAAAGGTTAAGTCTATACCATGTATAATATAGACGTCGGTTGAACTTCATTGTATAAGCGAATGAACAGGCTCGTTGACCATAATAGACGTAAAGCGACCGCGGAGTTTTGGGTTTCACAGTGGTTAAAGTGAGTGGGATTGCCAAAGTGAGTACATATTATGGAACAAGGGACATTATGTGCAACAGTGTTATATGGTTGTTACCTTTCTTGAAATTGTTCCATTTCAAAGTATCAATTGTATTTGACTTGGACCTCAGATATAACGTCACCCAAGTAGTATTGTATGTCATCATCTGTCTGTCTCCTTTTTAAGTTCACGACATCGCACGATGCCTCCTCGATCAGGTCAATAACAATAGGCGTAAAGCGACCGGGGAGTTTTGGGTTTCACATTGGTTATTTCACAAACGATTCGCTATTAAATTTTGTGGTCTCTATTTGTCTTTTTATTTAACCTATAGATTATGTTTGTAGCAACCCAAACCCCTGCCGCAATGGCGGCACATGTATCCCAGAGACCACCGGTAATTTCTATAACTGTTCCTGCCCCGCCGGTTTTAGTGGAGGGGATTGCCAAAGTGAGTATATATTATGGAACAGTGGACATTATGTGCAACTATGTTATATGGTTGTTACCTTTCTTGAAATTGTTCCATTTCAAAGTATCAATTGTGTTTGACTTGGACCTTGTATATAACGTCACCCACGTAGTATTGTATGTCATCATCTGTCTGTCTTCTTTCAAGTTCAAGACATTGCACGATGCCTCCTCGATCAGGTCGATCACAATAGGCGCAAAGCGACCGGGGAGTTTTGGGTTTCACATTGGTTATTTCACAAATGTTTCGCTATTACACTTTGTGGTCTTTATTTTTCTTTTGATTTTACATAAAGATGATGTTTGTAGCAACCCAAACCCCTGCCAAAATGGCGGCACATGTATCCCAGATACCACCGGTAATTTCTATAACTGTTCCTGCCCCGCCGGTTTTAGTGGAGGGAATTGCCAAAGTGAGTACATTTTATGGAACAAGGGACATTATGTACAACAGTGTTATATGGTTGTTACCTTTCCTGAACTTGTTCAAGTATCAACTATATTTGACTTGGACCTCATATATAAAGTCACCCAAGTAATATGCTGTGTTTTTAGGGGTAGACCTATTTATTATATTCGAATCATCATCGGTCTGTCTTCTTTTATGTTCACGACATCGCATGATGCCTCTGCAATCAGGTCATCTTGTCTGCGATAGCAGGAATCAGTTGTTATCTTACAAAGTAATTGTCTTCCTGCTGAAAAGCTAGTTACATCAAAAATGCTTATATAAAATAAAAACTACAAAGATAGTAAAATATATGTACATAACTTACAAATTATATTTAACCAGTTTTACATTGTATCACCTGATTTACATTTGTATGTCTTTTTGAAGTATTTTTGGAGTATCTCTATTACACACAAATGTTATTCTTGATTTTAATGCATAGTAATTGTAGCCATAGATCGTGATTCAGCTTTGAAAATAATGTGGTTCCTGTACACACCTGTACAGTACTTACTTACCCTGGTCTTTCCACTGACTATCCTTATTACTGAACATGATACACATGTATGTCTTAATCCTTCATACTCATTCTAGAAATAGCAAAATCTCCTTGCTTCCACGGTGATAGATTTAATGTGTGATTATCTTCAGATCTAGATTGAGTAAACTGTTTGCGTACCGCGATCCATGCCAAGGTGGCATGGGTGGCTTGTGCGTAAAGCACCCCCCTCTCACCAATGTGGCCCTAGTTCGTATACCGGCTGCGGATCGTACATGCCATATGTCAGTACAGTTGTGTGTTGATTCTCTCCTGGGCCACTTGGGTTTTTCTCTTGGCCCTTTGGTTTTCTTCCCTTCTTAACAAAATCAAACGCTCAAATCCGTGGTCTTGTATGGGTCGACCACATTGTAGCCGCGTCCTTCGCAATTCAGCTTCTCAGTTGCGAGTAAGGAAGATTAGCCTCCCAAATTATTATTATTATATCCAAGTTAATCAACGTGAACGTTTTGAAAATGAATCACAAGTCGTTCAGCCTCTCGTTGTAAAGTGACAAACTGTTCGAATGAACGGTAAAAGAACAACCACATAGTCCTTTCTTCTTTTCGCATGCATTGCCTCGCTTCATAAGACTTTACCAGTGACTGACTTATTGGTCATAACTCTTCCGTAGGGTTACCTTCTTCAGTTGAAGCAAGGGGAGTAAAACCCGTTAAATGGGTAACTGTTGTTGCCTGCAAAATGGTTTTGTGAAAATAAAAATATTGTTTTGCCTTTAAAAAAAAAAATGGACGTCGTTTCTTTCATTGTGGTAATCAACTGCTTTAAAACATGATAGAGTTATAGATGCTTAATTTGACATACTTTTTTTACTTCAATATCTTTCCTATTCTATTTACATTCAGCCGATGACCCTTGCATGTCCAACCCCTGCCAAAATGGCGGACAGTGCATGCCGCAAGCAGAAAACATGTACAACTGTACGTGCCAAAATGGCGCCACGGGTAACAACTGCCAGAGTAAGTAGCTTACATACCCTTCGGCCTCCTTAAACACCCTGCAGTATTGTTGAATTCAAATGCAAACGTTACAAAAGCATGCCCACCCCAATTAACTTTGTTTGCAGACTTACAATTCTAACAAGTCCCGGTTCAGATTTTCGAAATCCAGGTCCACTTTGCCTAGATACTTTCAGGGTCACGTGACAATTTTCGGGTCAAAATTACACTTCTTGTGATAGTTGTCCGTGTCATTTTTACCTGATGTAGCATGAATTTAGGTTTTTGAAATACGGACTCATTGGTGGTAATGTGCATGCTTGTGCATAGACAATGAGAAGAGGGATTGGTCACGTGACAAAACAGTGGAAAAAAAACCCAATTTTTAAACGAGTCCGATTTTCATATGACACCGGCAGTACTGACATTAGTGGGGGTTTTTATTAAAAAAGTGTCATTGTTAGCTTGAAAAGTATCAGGTCAAACACAATCCGGGATGTTGGTAAACTCTAACCTGGAATTTTGAAGAATGTAGTCCAATAAAGACCACAAGTTAATAAAAGCAGTCAAATGAAAACCCAAGATTTAGAACTCATTGAAAGTGACATCCGGTCGATTGTGGTTTTTATTTTTCCGCTGCAGACGCTCATTCAAACACCACGACGATCATTATTATCGTTGTCGGTCTTGTCGTCGTCTTGATTGTCGTGCTGGTCATTGTCGTGGTTTGCTTCGTCAAAAGGTCACGACGTAAGCGCAGAGGCAGCCTGCCGTCTGCCGTCGATAGAGGGCGTGGACAGGAGCTCATTCAAAAGGTGGGTAGTTTTTCTAAGACGTCTATTTTTTATTGATCTAGTATCATATCCGAGTATAGTGATGAGCAAATCACCAGTGACTATGCAGTGTGACAAAATACAGCTTCTAAAAAGATGGAAGATTCCGTCGTGTAAGCCTTACGAGAACTCAAACAATTCTCAGAACGACGTCTGAAATCCTGTCAGACACCTTTGTAAATCTTGTCAGAATGTCGAACATTTTCTTGTGTAAATATGCCATAGTTTCAGGCAAACATTTCTTAATCAGCACGATTTTGCCTCGTAAAACCACCTTTTTGGAACTAGAAATACCAGAGTTTAAACGCTGTGCGGACTCACAACGTAAGAACTTGTCCTGTGGCAAAATGTTTGCCCTAAAAGTGCAATCCGACCTTATTATTAACTCGAAAACCAAAAGCACAATGGCCCTTTCCTTTTTTTTTACACCTTGCAGAAATTGTCGAATATTTATTGGATTGACAATCGTCAAACATCGACCTCGGAGTTTAATGGATCATCTAAGGAGTTCCCGCGGGACAAACTGCACATCCTCGGCCAGTTAGGCAGCGGCTCGTTTGCTGTGGTCTACAAGGCCGAGGCAGAGGGAATCATCCGTAGGGGAACCAATACGACGGTGGCTGTAAAAATGTTGAAAGGTATGACGTTGTTTTAGGCCTAGTGTACTAAAAAGTTGGTTGGGGAGGGAGTATGATAATGTTTCCAATTAAAAGACCCTTTTCTGCCTGTAAGTCATTGACCAATTAGATCACGACTTTTGAACAGGTGACAACAGTATTGTAATGACAGTCTTCGGCAAGACAGTCTTCGGGGGCGCCTCTCAGATTTTAGTTTGATAATACACATAATAACTATTCACGAAGATAAAGCAAGAGTAAATTAATAAAAGCAGATAAATTATAATATTGGGTGACACTTACAAATTATAAGACCAGTGCAGGGGCGTGCCCGGAGGAGAGCATCCAGCAAACGGAAACTCAACGTAACAGTTTGACAACTCAAAGAAAAATAAAGAATGACCAACGCCCAATTGCGCGCACGGGGTGGGGGGGGAGGGGGTTTGGCGGGGGCGGGCATATTGTAAACTCCGGAACGGTCCATTCTAATCGAACGAGAAAGTGTGACGTCACCTCCTCCCCATAGCCAAGTTAGGCTCACTTCCCCGACAGCGGTTCACGTGCATTATACAACGACAATGTTGACGTACGTTTAACACATGTGTATGGTGGCCCTGAAGGGACATCGCATATCGCAAACGTGTGCGCATTCGTATGCGATGTCGCGAAATTTATCGCGAATGTGTGCGCACACGTATGCAATGTCGTGAAACAATTCGCGAATATGTGCGCACACGTATGCGATGTCGCGAAATTTATCGCCAATATGTGCGCACACGTATGCAATGTCGTAAAACAATTCGCGAATATGTGCGCACACGTATGCGATGTTGCGAAATTTATCGCGAATATGTGCGCACACTTATGCGATGTCGCAAAATTTATCGCGAATATGTGCGCACACGTATGCGATGTCGCAAAATTTATCACGAATATGTGCGCACACGTATGCGATGTCGCGAAATTTATCGCGAATATGTGCGCACACGTATGCGATGTCGCGAAATTTATCGCGAATATATGCGCACACGTATGCGACGTCGTGAAACAATTCGCGAATATGTGCGCACACGTATGCGATGTCGTGAAACAATTCGCGAATATGTGCGCACACGTATGCGAATTTGTTTGCAATGTCGTGGATTTTATTGCATACCTTGTCGCATACCTTTCAGTTAAATTCCTAATGAACTAGGGAGTTGTAGCAGCTAGTCTGGAATCTAGACGTACTGTTAGATAAAAATAGGGTCTGACTAATAAACCTTCGCGCGCACGCTGTTCCTCGTGCAATCGTTACTACTAGTACTGTCGAGCGCAAACTTGCTACTTGCGCAACTTTGAAATAGTTGCGCAAGTAGCAAGTAGCAAGTTTTATTCGCACATATTCGCGAATTTTTTCACGACATCGCATACGTGTGTGCACATATTCGCGATTAATTTCACGACATCGCATACGTGTGCGCATATATTCGCGATAAATTTCGCGACATGGCATACGTGTGCGCACATATTCGCGATAAATTTCGCGACATCGCGACAGTTGACAACTCAAAGAAAAATAAAGAATGACCAACGCCCAATTGCGCGCACGGGGTGGGGGGAGGGGGTTTGGCGGGGGCGGGCATATTGTAAACTCCGGAACGGTCCATTCTAATCGAACGAGAAAGTGTGACGTCACCTTTTCACTATATGCACATATTCGCGAATTTTTTCACGACATCGCATACGTGTGCGCACATATTCGCGATTAATTTCACGACATCGCATACGTGTGCGCATATATTCGCGATAAATTTCGCGACATCGCATACGTGTGCGCACATATTCGCGATAAATTTCGCGACATCGCATACGTGTGCGCACATATTCGCGAATTGTTTCACGACATTGCATACGTGTGCGCACACATTCACGATAAATTTCGCGACATCGCATACGTATGCGCACACGTTTGCGATATGCGATGTCCCTTCAGGGCCACCATACATGTGAGCGATCACAGACAGCACTTTTAAATTCTACTTTCATGGAACAGTTTCACAAATTGGTACGTCTACCCGAAAATGAATCACTGCCTTTCAGCAAATTATCACCACACTGGTCAGTAATACCCACAGTTGTGTTTATTTCTGCCTGAAAACCATTTATGACTAGAAACGGATTCACAACGGCTATAGCCAAGCCACGGTGTCCATTGGGCCGTTGCAGTGCGCGTGAACCATTAATCACGGTTGCACCCAATTGACGTCTGAAGTTAGTCACATCGCTGGTGACCAGTTACTGCGCATATTGCATTATAAAGCAGGGAGCCATTGCGACAGGGAGCCAAGTCGTGTGCTGACATTGATCATTGTTCTCATGTTCGCCCTGGCGCGCAGTCGCAACGTTCCTAACGAATCCATGGCCGTTGATCGAACTGGTTCGATACGGCGTTCCAATAACCACTCAACGATAGAAACAAGAAATCCCGCATTTAGGGCATTCAGGGAGCTTTGAACAAAATTGCACGGCACCGTGATTTTTTTCTTTACTTTTCTTACCAGAAGTACTTTTTTTCTATGCCTTTACAGAATCTGCTACACCAAACGATCAGAGTGATTTCAAGAAAGAGTTACGACTGTATTCCATGATGGACCAGCATCCCAATGTCCTGTCTATGCTCGGATACTGCACTGATAAAGGTACAATAATGTGACACACAATTTCAAGTTGCATCTCCAATTTGATGAGTTTGATAAGTTTTGAAAACAATACAAGTTTTCAGATGGCCGAACTAGTGAGTGATAGAGTGTATTACCCACACAGTTAAAATAATTTGCATTGACTGTCATGCGAAGCGTCAACTTCTGTGCATACTATTTGAATTGATTAAGCTGTGAGTGAGAGCAGTTTTGGCAACTCTTCGTCTATTCCTGTGAATTCCCCAACGACATAGCGCCCTCATGTGGCATGCATATGAGATGAATTTGTATTTTCAACCCAGTTTTCATGTCTTTCTACAGACCCAATGTACGTAATCCTAGAGTACGTTCCCCATGGAGACCTGCAGACCTACCTGCGACACATTCGGACGGGCACCGAACCCTTCTACCTGAAGAAGGAAGAGTTCAAGGAGAAGAAGGACCTGACACCGACTGAGATCCTGACTTTCGCATCTCAGGTGGTCAGGGGGATGGAGTACCTAGCATCGAAACAGGTGAGATCGCATGTAGGGTTAATGGGGATACATCAGTGTAGAATGCGTTATGTGCCACTAAGAGTTTGCCTCAAAAAAGTAGCCTTTAAACGTTGCCATGATGCAGGAGTTGTATTTGTGCATCCAGCTGCCGCTTTGTGTGTGTTGTTTGTCATTTAAGATTAAAGAATCTGCCAAGAAAAAAACAACAGAACACACGCAACCGACTGTACACTTCTGTTTACATTCCTTTTGTTCTGGAGAAAAACTCATGTTACTCCCACTGTGAACACTCTTTCAGCCCAGTGTTCGTATCATGATTTCCTTGAGTGTTTCTCTTCTTTTTGCGATAATTTGACCCCCAAACGCCTCTAAATCTGTTTTCCAGAGAGGAGGAAACCTTGTGTAGACGTGGGCAGTGTCGCACTCAAGGGGGGGGGGGGGGGGGGGGGGGGGGGGGTTGAGCAGCCCCTCCCCAGAGGTTGTCATTGTTTGGTTGGGTTTTTTTGTATTTTTTTTTTTAGTCCCACGTTTTGACCTTGGTGGTATGTACGTGGCCTATTTTCGAGCAGTATAATATGGGTGTAAGTGGCGCCACCAACGTCAAAATAGTCGGCCTCCCCCCCCCCCCAAAAAAACCCAATTGTTTACTTCTAAAACATTTCAAATCCAAAAATAGTTGTGACCCCCCCCCCCCCCAAAAGCCAACTCCTGGGTGCACCACTGGACGTTATGTGGACATGTTTTGTTTAGAGGTCCACACAGGGAATGCTCGTACACACAGAACCTGCAACCAAACCTATCAAACAAACAAACAAACAAACAAACAAACACCCCAACAAATTGCTCAGTCATATGCCTTGTTCTCAACCGAATACTTCTCACCACTTATTTTTTTTTTTTTTTTTGCATTTTTCTATATCATCCCCGAAACATGCTTTGTCTTTGGACGGGTCCCCTTCAACGCAGATTCCCACTCAATCTGATCGCTCTACAAACCATACTTGCAACAATTCCTCTGTGGCAGTTAATACTGATTCTAAAAGTGTGTCTTTTGCAATATCTTGCAGGCTCCACATTAATTCTTTCCCACACATTGTCTCGTGTCTGTGGTCTGATGTAGTTTATTCTCTTATCTTCTCACAGTGTATCCACAGGGACTTGGCGACCCGTAACATCCTCCTTGGCGAGGGACTGGTATGCAAGGTGTCCGACTTTGGACTGGCTCGAGAAGTGGCCGAGAAAAGCCAATACGAAATGCAATCACAGGTACATACATACACTCGTGTTCACACCGTCGATCTCGGAAGTCCTATTGTTCCTCTTTTGAAGACTCCCATAATTATGTTTGTACACGGCCCCAATCGCGGACATTTGCTGGGAATCGTGGACGATATTGCTCTCTTTTGTTCTCTGGCATTTTTCGTCCACGGTTTGAATGCCTGAACACGCCCATGTATACAATGTCATTTGAGTACATACACTTCAGAGGTAGCTCTCTAGTGGTTTAATCGTTCCATGAATCAGGTTGGTGTCATGCACTAGTTAAGCATGCACTCTCGATTGGAGCACGTCAGTAAAAGACCCATCAGGAAAAGCACGTTTGTTTGACAGAAATAACGTATAACATTGCCTGAGTTTTGAAGATTTGCTTTAAATTGCAGTGTAGCAGTCGAGTACTTTTTTCCGAGTACCGAGTACTGCCGAGTACATAGGTCACCGTGTACGAGTACTAGTACCTGTACATGTACTTCCGAGTACAAGTACAGGTCTCTGAGTACGAGTATTGTACTTCCGAGTACGAGTACGAGTACTTCTATTTCCGAGTACGAGTACGAGTACTTCTGTTTCAGAATACGGCCATACCGTCAATGGTTCCTTGTGCGTAATTGATCCAGACCCTGTCAGACCGATAAACAGACCCACTCAAGGCTAGCTGTTAAAACTTCAATTTCTCCGAAAGCCAATCAACCATTTCAAACTGAAAGTATCGATAAAATAAGGCCGAGGTAAGTCGAGCTATACCATTTCTTTCGAGTACTGCTATTCGAGTACGAGTACTTTGATGATCGAGTACAATTTCGACATGTCGAGTATGAGTACTTTGCTGCCCGAGTAAGTATCGTCATTTCGAGTACGAGTACTTTGACATTCGAGTACGAGTATATACAAGTACTCCAAAAAAGGAATCGAGTAGTACTCGAGTACGAGTACCAAGTACGACTACTACAACAATGGCTTCTTGTCAGCACGCAGATAGAAATTACAGAATGTAAGGCAGGAAATCAAATGTTAGAAAAATTTCCACTTCTCTTGTATGGCGACATAATTCCAGAAAGTTAACTTATTGCATCATATCTTTAAATCAATCTGAACAGGGCAAGGTACCAGTTCGTTGGATGGCTCCTGAGTCACTGCTTAGTAATATGTACACGAGCAAGAGTGACGTATGGTCATTTGGTGTTCTTCTGTGGGAACTGGTTACGTTAGGTGAGTCGGAATCTCTGTTCATTTGTTAATGTTTTGGAGGGCTCCTTTCTCTTTTGTTGATACCACTTTCATATGAAATTAGGACTGCTATGAAATCTTGGTTTTTTATACCTTATATCATGATGAACTCGTGACCTGTCACTGTCATTATCATGTTCACTTACGCATGCGCAATACAACCAATCAATTCATATTTCATGGAGTCTAACTTTCACACTACACCGCACCCAACAATTTGTTTCTGGCCATAACTGGGGCGCCCTCAATTAATGACTCGATCAAAAAAAACGACGTTTACTGAAGCACATTTTCAGATATTAACCCAATGCCATTTTGAAAATGTAAGGTTTTGAAAAGGTAACTTTGAATGACAGCAAAATGTAATCTGACGTCACATACCTTTAATTCACGCCTTGTTCATCCCGAATATGGGGTCGTGACAGCGCCCTCAATATCTATTACCTTCTCTGGCACGTTCTGTAACACCTCTTTTTCCCATCAGGATCGCATCCATACCCTGGCATGTCATCACAGGAGGTCATCAATGAACTAAAAAAGGGCTACCGACTACCCAAACCAGAGCATTGTGGCGACGACATGTAAGGATAATGGGGTCAGGCGCGGATCCAGGGTGGGGGGGGGGGGGGGGGGGGGTTCAACACCCCCAGTTCTGTCAAAACAAAAAACATCATAGAAAATCATGAAAAAAGCGAACCCCCCCCCCCCCTCCCGCTCTGACACCCAAATTGTTTTCATTGGTAATAATGTCTGCCTTTGCACAAAATACGGAAAGAGGCAGCTTTGTTAGGGGGTATATGTAGACTATTCTGTGATATAGTGTTAATTATCGTCGGATTATAACAGCGCCCTCACCGAAAGTGTGGTACGATTTGTTTACAGCGTTTCGAATCCTTTGGCAAAGGTGTTTTATAAATACCAGTTACTGTCATCGGCAGCATGGGGTTGGTATTAATCGTATGTAGCATATTATTGAATCTGATTTATAAATGCAGGACCGGTTGTCGCTTCGATGACAGTCAGTATATCGAACCCCCCCCCCCCCAAAAAAAAATCAAGATTTCACCTCGGGTTCTTCTGAAAACCCAACAATGGACAAAATTCAGTTAGTCTTTCCTCAACAGTGTTTCCATCTTCCGTTTCTGCTATTCTATCGTTATCATCAGGGATCATTTTCCATGACTGCATTACACTGAAATATACTTCTATTGCAGATACCAGATAATGATGGACTGCTGGCAGGAGAAACCTGAAGACAGGCCGGATTTCGCTGGTCTTCACACCACCATAGACGACATCCTTGCAGATGCAGCGGTGGGTATTCAGTTTCCAAGCAGGTGTACTGATCACCTGTCATTTTATTTCTCATATTGTCTGCCACAACTATTCTGTCGTTGTATACAACCCTGATCGCACTCAGGAACGTCATTCCAGTTATGGACCTTAATCACGAGGAAGCCATTTTGGTCGTGCTCCCTAAATGTATTCTATAAATTATAAACTTTTGAACGGGATAGCACCAGACTATTTGTGAATTATAACCTCAATTTCATTTGTTTTTTTAAATGTGGCTTAAAACATTGCGGTATGTTTAATCAAACATTTTATATTATTCATCAAAGCAGACTGGTGTTAATTTGTAATTTACTGTATGTCATTGCTTCCATTACTCTTCACAAGTTCCAAAAATGAAAATGTTACCTCGCTTTCCATTTAATATGGCCAACTTGTGAATGAAGCCATTACGACTGATGTTGCCACTTTTCAACTCCACGATCGACACACAGTAGTTGGAGCTTACCTCATTGTTTATATGCAGTATATCCGACAAATACAAATGCAATTGGTGACCTGGTGTGTCTATGTGAACTCATCGTTATTCACGTTCAAATTGGAAGAAAAATCAACTTAATTACTATAAAGTTACTGATTTAGTTGCACAAGGCAGCATTAAAGGCATAATAAGATAATGTGCGTAAACCCAAAAGTAACCTACCGAACTATTATCAAAAAGCTTACTAGGATTAAATATCTTTCTGGTATTTAACACCCCACGAAAGTATTCCTAAGAAGTCAAGAAATGTATTGTGATTTTCAACGGTTTTGGAATTAAGAGTGTTATGGATGAAATCGTATTTCGTGTTAAAAGAATCGTGCATGGTTTTTCATTCTCTCGAAAAGTTTAATATCCACTGAGCCGAAATTGCCTTTAACTATGTTTTTTTCTATGGTTTAATACTTATATTTCGTTATTTACAGGGCTATCTCGAAATGGGAAGTCTTAACCCGGATGATTACGTGTACCTGAAACCTGGCCAAGGTTCGAGCAGCATCACTCACTCACCCACTCATTCGCCCACAGGCAGCATCGAGTCAGGCTGAGTGATCGCGTATGCATTCACTACGTACAGGCGCCACAGCGGTGTACAACTTGGAAAATATCCCTGGTTCAGTGTGCATTGCCCTAGGGCAAGTTTGAGCGAGAATTGTCGTCAACCATAGTTCGACTGTCTTTTTCTAGATGTAGCCTAGGCCTGGAATAGTTGAACTCCTGAAGAAGACCTCGCGCTAGTTCTGATCTCTACGCTTTATGTACATAACGGTCGACATCTGTTAAATTGCAGGACCAAATAAATTGCAGAATGTATTAAGTGATTATTAAGCTCCAGAAAAAAAAAATTATAGGAAGGGAGAAGCTCATTAAATGGTTTGTCTTTGTAGAGCACGATAAATTTACATTAACCTCGAGATGTTTACTATCATTGGTGATTATGTTTTTATTATGAACAAAAATTGTGTGCTTGGCCGGTTTTAAACAGTATGTTTGAGACCGGTTTGGAGTATGGATGATGATTTTTATCAACTATTCCGAACGTTATTTTTACTTCTTGAAAAAATTGGCTGCAATGTACAGGTGGACATAATATGTATTGCATATTATGCATGGTGAAGTTATTTGTAAAGTGTGTATTTTTTTTCCATTCCAATTATGAACTAAGCTTTGTTAGGTATTAAAATATCTACATCTACGTTCATTGACTGAATGTGTTTTCGAATATTTCAGGGCACTGTATATAACTTGACTGTTTAATTGTTTTTTTAAATATATTTCTTGTACAAGTGCAAATGTACAAATCAGTGTCAATTTCAACTTGAAAATATTATTTGTATTGTCTTAAAATAGGTTTATTTGATGTCCTACAACTTTACTCAGATACTCTTGAAGTATGTCAATAAGAAATGTACAAGTATATTCAGATATTCTTAATAAACTTTTTATTTTACAATTATGTACAAATTCATTACTCAAATTAACTAAAAGTCAGAAAGTATTGATCATGTTTGAAGTGTATATAATTCTATGCAGTACTACTCCTTCCAGTTTTAGCTGGAATGCTTCGACCAGGGACCGATTTCACTGACTTGATTACCGAAAAGGCTCAATATTTAGGTTAAGTGAGAACTAAGCAATAGCAATTATTCACATAATGCGAATTACAGTAGTAGTACACATTGTTCACAATGATCATACAAAATAGCACACTGCGTTAGGGCAAAACAGGCAAAATTACGATTTTAGTCATGTTAAATGGTTTCTACGTACAATGTTACTAATTTCCCCGTGCTATTTTGAGTTTTACTGCGAATTTGTCTGATGATTGCTATTTTCCTCAAATTTAGAAGTTATTCACTTTTGAATGTGGCCTCAAATAAACAAAATGCCACCAATATTTTGCTATTGAATTATTCCCATTTGTTTGCGGCTCCAAAATAATATCGCTCTCACAGGGTGGGTTTATTTGTGCGCAAATATGCTGAAAAGTCCCCTGTCGGAATGTTTAGATTGGTTAAAATAAATCTTACAAATTGAAAATTGACTGGAACCACAAAAGGAAGCTCAATGGGTGAATTACAACATTTTTTTGAAAAATTGAACAAAGACATTTACTGGAGCGGGGCTCGAACAAGCGACCTCCGGATAATCGTTTCGGTGCTCTACCAACTGAGCTACCCAGGCCTATGTTGGCGGTTCTCCAATAAGTTGTAATTTACCTAGTCATTTTCCCTTTCTGGTTGATTTGAAATGTAATAAAAAGCAATATCCTTTCTGAATGATCCCCGTTTGCTGTTTCCCATCATGACTTTGGGCGTGATCCCTGGCTGTATAGCAAATACTGGTTTATGGCTTCTAACTAGCTCCTCTGAGCAAAGATATTGACACGTTAGTTAAATCATTATCACTCCTGTTTTTTCTATTTTCTGAAATTCGTATTTAGTTGTAATGGTCTTTTGGTCGCCGCTGTGGCTAGCAAGTTTGGCAGCAGTACACCGCCAATAGGCGAACCACGGTGACATCGCATTATCCCACCAATTTGGTTACCTCCCGTTTATTTTTTATTTGCAAGTGTTGTTTACTCATTATTACAATGTTACTTTTCACAATGTATTCAGAATTATTCTTTTATTTTGTATATAATTTCACTGTATTTATTCAGAGGTACAGAAACAAAGTTCCTCCTTTGAAAAGTAGATTAAAAGCTGCTAACTTAACCAAAACAAATAAGCAAACTTAACAACAATAATAACAAAAGAGAAAAAAGCCACTTTTAATGCACGTGTCTATACATCAAATTAAAGAGAAAAAAGAAATAAAAACATTTTTTTTTTAACAGGCAGTAGTAACCTAAAAATGATAACAATAGTAATAATATTACCATGGATTGGACCTTTGGGAGACATTCCCACAGACTTGTGTACAATATTTTTCAAACGTAAATGTGCCTTAACCCAATAGTCCCTTATCCTTTTCCCACGAATTTCGGTATGTTTACTCATTAGACCACGAGTAATTTCGACGGTAACGTTTGCCTCTAAGGAGGGTCTGTGACATTACGGACATGTCTCCCTAATTACCGGTGTCTCCCTTCGCTGGAAAAAAAAAGCGATAATGTGTCTCCCAAAGTTACCATTGAGAGTTTTAAACTACAGAACAAGTGTATATTATTGAAAGGAAAACCAGGGGATTTTTATATAAAAAATACTTGTAAAAAATAAACATCCCTCCTCGACATAAATTTGTCCGAAAAAGGGAATCTATTGTCATGAAACAGGTTGATAAAGTAACAATAACACTGCAAGAGCGCAAGAGTTGATTTAGCTCTATGGCAAACTAACAAAGTTTGCATAGCGAAAACTAACAAATCACCCGTTTTTTTATATGTTTATTATTACTATTATTATAAAAGGCCAAATTGCAGTTCAATTCACATTTCAGTACAATTTTTAAAAGGTTCAAAAATTATAACAATAGTCATCAAAACTTTACAATATATATATATTTACTTGTAAAAGATATTAAAAAATCACTAAAGGAATAATTGTGTGTTTGGCTGACTTCAAACCAGATGTTTATGAACAGTTTGGAGTCTGGATACTGATCCGAGCCGAAGGCGATGGTCGTTATCAGTCTTAAACACTAACCGTTCTTAAACACTTAGTATGTGCCAAACACTTAATTAATTCCAGAAGTATTTCAGAAAACACTTCTAGCCCCCAAGCACCCCTCCTCCTCCCCCCCCCCCCCCCCCCCCCCCCCCCCCGCTTGGGTGCGCCACTGGCTGTTTGTCCATTGGTGTTGTAACACTGTTAGGCCATCAGCTGAAACTCAAAAACCGGCTGTAAAATGAGTTTCGTTCCAGCAACACTGGGTCTACTTTTTTAATGCACATATGTGTGGTTCAGTACATCACAAACACTATGTCAAAAGTTCTCCAGCAAATATGCTGCAGTTTTTTTTTTACACTTCATCAAAGTTTGCCAATGTTATGTACATGTATGTATGCTAAAAACCCACATTTTCCGGTTTAAGGCCTTGCGTTGGCACTTCCAATTTCAAAACTACGCACGTACAGCACTATAGCTTGTCATATACTACACTCTAGAAACTCCTGGGTCAGACTCAGTCTGCTCAGTCCTTTTCCGGGTCAAAAATTGACCCCTTTTGGAGTCATAAATGACCCCTTTGGAGTAAAAAAAAGACATGTTTTTTGGATATTTTGACTGAAATGTGTATTTTTTTTTACCCAGAAAAGGACTGAGCAAATTTGGATTCAGATTCTGGGTCAATCTGACCCAGGAGATTTTAGAGTTAAAAAATATCTTGTATGTACATTGGCAATTGGGTCACACAGAACATGACCTTTTGTTTTCTCATCTGGTAGACCCACCACAGTCCCTCTTCCAAAAAATATTTCACTGTAATCCAACTTATTTGGCAGCATACAACAATGCAATTATTTTGAAGGTTTATAATGCAGTGGTGGAACCAGCTCATCATTAATGAAAGTGAGGAGGTGCCCAAAATGGAGGCGTCTTTAGAGTAAATAAATACCTGCACATGTAACCAGCAGAAGAAACAGGAAAGCAGACAAGACATGTCCCTTTAAACAAAGCAAACTAACGCATATAAAAAAAAAAAATAATGGGTGCTATGCCCCCAAACCCTCTTGATCTGCTGTGGTGAACCAGGTACGTCACTTAAAGAACCTTCTACTAGTAAGAAAGACCACCTTTTTTGGAATGAAACAGGCTTTAAATACAATTATAAACCAAAGGACCATCAGATAGAAGTCAGAGTCTGGTTTAATAATTTCAAAAATCAACCATTGTACATTTATTTGCTATCTAATCAAAACAGCCATCTTGGTTCGGAGAAAAGCCTTAAAATCAGTCTCTTGTCAAAGAAAATTTCAGCTTTTTATTTAGTGATACATTGATTAGCACGTATAAATGTTTGCATGTATATCAATAAAAAGAAAACAAAACCATAACTCATGCTATTTTGTATGCTTACACATTAAAGAGAGTGATTTGGCTTGTCATATGTGGCTAGTCTCACTGTTAAAATTCACAGAATTTGCCTTTTTTTACTGGAACTAATTTTTAATAATTGAAAAGAATTGAAATGAATAAAACCAACACTAATGAACAGAAGGATACAATTATGTAGTTTTGAAATCTAGAGTTACTCATTATTTTCATTATAATGTCAAATGCTAACTAGTCGTGCTGATACAACTTCAAGTAAATGTTATCACTACATCAAAGTTCTCATCAAATCTTGTGCAGTAATGGCATAACAACAGGATGGAGCGTATGTCTTGCTTTCTAAGCCAAAGTTTTAGTTTTGAATCCTCCTCTGAAGTCCCCAGAGATTCAACCACACCTCCAGCAGATAAAGTAGCGGTGTAGATGATGTCGCATATATCAAGGAAAGAGATCTGTGGATATTCTCTTCTAAGCCGATATGTCAACTTATCAGTTCTGTAAAAAAAAAAAATAGTAAAATATAGACAGGTTTAGTATCTGCTGATCAAAAACAATGATTACTGTGGATGTGCTTTAGAAGAAGGAAAACAACTTGTTCAATCTAGAGTTAAATTACTAGAAAGATCACGTGCCCGATCGTGTTGCCTTCCACTGTAAATATGTAAACATTGGTAGCTATTGAGAACCAACCTTTTCAGCTTCCAAAGCAATATCAAGAAGTTTTCATTTTGAATATTCTATTAAAGTTTATTTCTGTTTGCACTCTGAATAACAATCAAAACATCTTACCGATATAAAGATCCACGGCCAGTTCCTTCGGCTTCTAAATCATTTCATGATTCCAACAGTTCAGCAAGCTGGGACATTCTTGTTGATCGGGGTTGAACAGTCAGTCGCAGAACATCTCCCTTTTCCTGACGTTCATCCTTTAGGCCTATATATATAGAATCAAATAGTAAATTCTATAAAAAGCTATTTCGCTATTTTACACAAAGGGAAAGACTACCCTCACACCTCCATAAAAGTATCCTTCAACAATGGAGAAAGAGACTGCACAACATTTTATTATGGGAATTTGTGCAGTACCCGTTGTACTTTGGCATCTTAACGTAAGACATTTATTTTCAGTGCCAGAGGTACTCGGTTGAATCATGGATGATGGAACTAAAAAAAAAAAACCCTTTTTTACTGGGTTTTTCAAATAAGATATATTTTTCATTGAAGACATTTTTCTTCATTGACTTTAGAGAATTTTTCTAAAAGGAAAGTAAAGTCCAAAAACCATTCGGTAAACAAGTGACGTACCCAAACAGTCCAATGCCGTAGAGAAAGAAAAGGTGTTTTTTTTATAACCAGGAATCTGTTATCATTTTGAATGGTATCTTTTGCAAGAAAATAAAATTTTCCTATTCATTTTCAGTTGACGCCATCCAAATCGATGCGGTTCTGTGCATTCACGGTGCATCGTGGTGACCACCAGCTTTGTTTTCGCATTGCGTTTTTATCGTTGTGTCACCCCAGTTTCCCTCAAAGAAATTAAAACCTAACCTTACCCTTAATTCAAGACAATTAAACCCAAACATGGATTTGTTGGTTCTTTGTTGGGGCACATAAATACACAATCGCCTTTATTATAATGACATGTAGGCCTACCTCCAACGGAAGTTCTGCTTGTTGTACTGTCCTTGAATTGAGGTTTTCATCGAAATCAAAATCCTGGTTGAGTTTGTGTGCAGCATGACACAGAACAGATAGGCAATTCAAAGAAACTTGAACTTTGCCCGGAGCTTTTTCGGTGAAGAAATCTGGGTCTCAGCTGAAGTGTCTGGTTTGCGTTTTCTTGCAGCACCGAGACGTTTACTATCTATAAAAGCCGCCACGGGTGAGATCGACCGGCCGGACTGCCTTGTTTACATGCGCCGGTAGTCATGGTAGTGCATGATGTAGTACTGTACAGTACGATACAGACATAGCAGATCCACTGCCCATACATCGTGGGTATATTCGGCGATGCCATTGTGAAATTCAGCCACTCTTTGGCACAGGAAATGAACTTACTATCACCGGACATCAGATCCTTCGCATTTCCCCCCTCAAACGTGACAGATTATGAGTGCAAACACTTCTTTTTTGCACCAGTCGATGTTTACGTTGACGCACTTTTGCCAATGGACGCCGCCATGTTTGTTAAATGTCATGACCTGCGACCTCATATATGGTGTCTAATTGGACAGTTCACGTCACGTGGTACGATGCGTCATACGCAGCGGATTTTTTAACGTAGGCGCGGTACGTGTTTGAACGTCCACAATGGACAAATAGTTCGCTTTTTCGAGTCAAATTATCAAAAAACTGCTGGACGAAATGTGGAGAACTTTTGTAGTATCATTCTTTGGATGTGTATTTCGGTACAACTGTTGAAATTTTTTAGACCCGCGATTGCTGGAGCGAAACGAACGAATTTTCCAGTCCAGCTGACGGCCTATGTATTATAGACTGCGATATGTTAAAGATAAGAACTGAGGTGACGTCGTGATGACGTTATCGTATTGCCATGTCTCATTAAAGGTGATATTCAAGGGCCTATGTTTCTTTTTCTACAAAACTATAGGTGCAATTTGTTTCTAAAGGTTCACGTTTCAAAGTCCCGCTTATTTTTATGCCTATTGGGTCAGTCCATAACATGGCATAAACATTCATACAAATGCCGAAATAACCCTGTGGTTATCCACAGACATAACGTCAGTCTATTTTTTTTTCTTTGTATTACCTTTTTAACCTTTCCCCCTACACTGATACATTTCCTTCATAATAATATTATTCATAATAATATATAATTATTACCTTGGATTGGACCTTTGGGAGACATTTCCACAGACTTTGTGCCCAATATTTGTCAAACGTAAATGTGCCCTGACCCAATATTCCCTTATCCTTTTCCCACGAATTTCGGTATGTTTACTAATGAAACCACGAGCAACAAATATAACCTAATTGCGACGGTGCAATTTTGCATCTAAAGGGGGGATGTGCATCTATAATTTTGCATCTAAAGGGAGACATGAACATGTCTCCCTAATCACCGGTGTCTTGTAATTATAATATTATTTCCGTCATTATGGCTTTGTTAGGTTTGAACAGTTTCGCCTAAGTGGCGGAAGTCAACATGAACGTCGATCTATCGTACAGCAATTGTATGCCCAAGTAAACAGTAAAATATTAAAATCCTGTTCATATTCCTCACCGTTGCTGGCCTAACATGTTATATGTCAGCGAATTAGATAAATTCATACAGCGGCAGAACATACATTTTGGTACACACTTGCCATCCTTTACCCATGTTTAACAAGCAAAACTACGGATTTTAGATGTACAACCAGCATACATTGTAATACGAACATGACTGAACATTTGGATGAATCACGTTATGGCTGGAATGTCTACATTTGCCGTCCGTTGCTCCTGGTCCTGTTTGCCTGCTGTTACTTTGAACAAGGTCGCTGCAATCTTATAGGTAGGTAAATAAAACAAACCTTTCAATTTGAGATCGGGGTGGACATGGGCGTCGCCGGGGGGGGGGGGGGGCAAGGGGGCGCTTGCAGCAGCAACAACAACAACAAAGGAGGGGGGAAAAGAAAACAAAAAAGAGGCGCGAAATCATATTGTTGTTAATTTAGTGGGTTGGAGGAGGGGCAGGGCAAATGTCCCTACCAATCCTCGAAAAAACGATCAATCGGGAAAATGCTGAAAAAAATAGGGATTTTGGGGGGAAAATTGGCTTTGTTCCCCTCTAAAAAAAAATCCAGCGACACCCATGGCGACGTGGGTCGTACTTGTCTTAAAGTAAAAATAACACAGTGTTCCAGAATTTTTCCTGATTTATCAGTTTTCGAGGGTGGGCAGGGACATTTGTCCCCCCCCCACCGCCCCCCCCCCCTCCATTGAATTTACAAAATATGACTTCGCGCCTGTTTTTCTTTATGTTTTCCTCCTCTGTTTACCTCATGCTGTTATCATTTTTTTAACTTTTCCCCCAAAACTGATATATTTCCTTCATAATAATATTATTCATAATAATATAATTATGTTACCTTGGATTGGACCTTTGGGAGACATTTCCACAGACTTGTGAACAATATTTGTCAAACGTAAATGTGCCCTAACCCAATATTCCCTTATCCTTTTCCCACGAATTTCGGTATGTTTACTACAATGAAACCACGAGCAACAAATATAACCTAATTGCGACAATGCAATTTTACATCTAAACGGGGGATGTGACATTAGGGAGACATGAACATGTTTCCCTAATCACCGGTGTCTCCCTCCGCTCGAAAAAAAATACGATAACGTGTCTCCCAAAGATACCATTTAGAGTTGTAATTTGCAGAACAAGTGTATGTTATGCAACAGAACACTGAGTTGTTTCGGCTATAGGTTTGAGTAAATATAATTAATGCAATGAGAATGGAGTATTTTGTCATGTGATTTTTTTCTGAGCAAATCAGCACATATAATAAAAGTTGAAAACATATTTTATTCACGCATCAGTTCAAGTACCGCCTTCAATAAGTGTCCTGTCTGTTACTCCTTACACTGCCCCAAACTGCTGCAGCACTGTGTGGCCTTAGGATTCATCAAAGAGTTAATATAGTGTAGTACCCTGTAATACAAGCCATAATGGGTTAAAAAGAAACTTCCACAGAGAAGCATGCACGTACAAGCCAAGCCGTTTACACATTATGGAAGTATTTTTAATCAAAATTGAAAGGAAAACCAGGGGATTGTGATATAAACAATGCTTGTTCAAAATAAATATTCCTCCTCCGCAGAGAGCAAGAGTTGATTCATTCATCCGCTTATTTTTATATGTATATTATTGTTACTTTTATTAGAAAGACCAAATTGCGGCTCAATTTCAATTTCATTTCAGTACCATTTTAAAAAGGTTGAAAGGTTATCACAATAGTCATAAAAGCCTTGCAATGTGTATTGCTTGTAATAGATATAACAACAATTCACTAGGAGAATAATTTGTTAGGCCAACTTTAAGCCAGATGTTTAAGAACAGTTTGGAGTCTGGATATCTGTCTTAAACACTGTGTTCAATACCGGCAAAATACATATTTATTAAGATTCATAAAAACCTATTTGATAAACGTAAAAGAATTGAAAAAAAAAACGTTCCAAACTGTAGAAACATTGAAACTTTGCCAACGAAGTTTTGTTCACGAATATAAATTTGGTTGTTATCCATGTAGTGGGGCCATTTCTATAAACGAAGCGTGACATTGCATTCAACCTCCAAAAAAAATACAACCAAAGAAGTGGCGCAACCAGGATTTGGCTTGGGAGTGGCTCACACATTTTCTTTCTTTTTTTAAGTTTGATTTGTTTCAAAAAATGTTTCCCCAAATTTTGGGCCGCATAAAATACTTCAAGCCTCCCGAGCACCCCCCCCCCTTCTTGGTTGCGCCACTGGCTGTTTGTCCATTGATGTTGTAACACTGTATTATTGACTGCGATGTGTTAAAGATTTAGAACAGACTGGTGCGACGTCGTGATGACGTAATCGTATTGCCAAATGACGTCACATTAAAGGTGATATTCAAAGGCCTTATTCTACAGAACGATATGTGCAATTTGTTTCTGAAGGTTCACGTTTCAAAGTCCCGTTTATTTTATTGCCTTTTGTGTCAGTCCATAACATGGCATAAACATCCATACAAAATGTCGAAATAACCCTGTGGTTATCCATAGACATAACGTCAGTTTGGTTCCTTTTTGTCTAATTACCTTTTACTTCCCACCTTGTACTGCTATATTTCCTTCATCTCATTAAAGTTGTCATACATTGCAATAATTATAATATTATTTCCGTCATGATGGCTTTGTTAGTTTTGTACAGTTTCGCCTAAGCGGCGGAAGTCAACCTGAACGTCGATCTATCGTACATCAATGGTATGTCCAAGTAAACAGTAAAATATTAACATCCTGTTCATATGCCTCACCGTTGCTGGCCTAACATGTTCTATTAATCAGCGAATTAGATAAATTCCTACAGCGGCAGAACATACATTTTGGTACACACTTTATCCTTTAAACATGTTTAACAAGCAAAACTACGGATTTTAGATGTACAACCAGCATACATGTAATACGAACATGGCTGAACATTTGGATGAATCACGTTATGGCTGGAATGTCTACATTTGCCGTCCGTTGCTCCTGGTGCTGTTTGCCTGCTGTTACTTTGAACAAGGTCGCTGCGATCTGACAGGTAGGTAAATAAAACAAATCTTTGAATTTGAGATCGGGGTGGACATGGGCGTCGCCGGGGGGGGGGGGGGGGGGCAAGGGGTCGCTTGCAGCAGCAACAACAACAACAAAGGAGGGGGGAAAAGAAAACAAAAAAGAGGCGCGAAATCATATTGTTGTTAATTTAGTGGGTTGGAGGAGGGGCGGGGCAAATGTCCCTACCAATCCTCGAAAAAACGATTAATCGGGAAAATGCTGAAAAATATAGGGATTTTGGGGGGAAAATTGGCTTTGTTCCCCGCTAAAAAAAAATCCAGCGACACCCATGGCGACGTGGGTCGTACTTGTCTTAAAGTAAAAATAACACAGTGTTCCAGAATTTTTCCTGATTTATCAGTTTTCGAGGGTGGGCAGGGACATTTGCCCCCCCCCCGCCCCCCCCCCCCCTTCCATTGAATTAACAAAATATGACTTCACGACTG